TTTTGGGTGTACTATTCCTTTAAATAGACAAGCAGCAACTGAATGTTTTGCCCAGAAGTAGTGGAGCCACATCGTTTTGAGTAAACTATATCCCTGAATGTTGGTTGACGCTATTAAGAACCCTTTTTAATAATTGGTTGACTTGGTGAGATAAACCGCAGAACGAATAAATGAAGATATGTCCAAGTTGGTCTCTTATCATTTAAAGGGATCATAGAACGCAAAACAGTGTTTCCATTGTCATAGATGAATAACAATAGGTCAGTGGGTGAAATGGACGTACAGAGAAGTCCAAACTCCATCGACACCTCCTTTCTTTGCAAATCTCACAATTCTAAACTTCCACCATAAAACGGACGAATCCAAACGAAGCCCAGAATTGACGTCAATTCGGGGAAGTTGCCTGATTTGGTTTTGGCCTGTACTTTTGTCACGCCCCGAAATTGAAATCCAGACCAGCCCCCTGGTTCACTGGCACAAGAACATGAATAGAGGTAGATGTAAGACACCAGTTTAGCTGTTTAGCCTACAGTCGGGTTTAATTCTACAACAATTACAAAGCAGGCAGTTTCTCTATATAAAATAAGCCAAAACCACGGGCGTAAATGTAGAGTTCCAGGCTGCTTGGAGGAAGGGGAACATTTTCACAGTTCTGCCAAGGATCCGAAGACTCAACAGGCATGGATTATTTTTGTCTATCAGAAGATGCCTGCAAAGTTTGATGCTCAGCTCTAAGCATTTTACTAAAGACAGCTTTCTAAATCTTGTACTGACGAGGGGCTGTTCCAACCGTAAGGCCATCACAAACGCAAGCTCTAAGTATTATTCTGTTGCTAAGCTGCTGATAGCAATGCTAGCATATCTATGGCGACCAGATTTGGGTTTCTGAGAAGGAGGGGGGGATTGGACGCTGACTTGACCAGACCAGGCATTCGAACTGAGCAATCAACTCCGGGGCTGGTCCAGGAACCCCGGCAGACGGGGCAGGGAGCCAGGCGGGGACGGGGCAACAGAACCCGGTGATGGTATGTTCTCCCCCGCCTATCTTACCGGTGTCTGGTTGAGTTTGGTTGCGCCGTCCCCTGCTGGCTCCCTGCCCCTGTCCGCCGGAGCTGAGGGATCGGTTCGAACGCCTGGTGTGTTTCGACAACCTGCTGACTGTAATCGACCAAAATCCCGGACGCTTTCAAAACGTCATGAAAAAAGTTGAGTTTGAGGTTCTATACAGTAGCCCATCAAACAAACTCAACGCTATTCCTGACATCCATCCTGGATGGGAAGCGAAACGTGTTCGAACTTGGAAACAAAGGCCAGTGGACTTTCTTTTCTAGTGAAGGGAAGCCCTAACAGAACATCAACACATGCAAAGTCCTGTATGCTGACCTGAAATAAATAAATTACTATATTCCTTACAAATAGGTAATTAGGTAAATGGGGACAACAGGATCAGAAATCCTCCACTCAAGTCCTCCAAATAGTTTAAGGAAAAAAAAGTTTCCCACATCGTAAACATGACTGAGCAGTGATGGTGGGATATTTACCATCAGGTGGAAGACAATAAAAACAGTCATTCTGCTGCCAACAAACATAGAAATACTGCTTAAATTTTAAATTTAGTGTTTTTGTCTTGTGCCAGGTTGCATCAGTTCCTCTAGTCAGTATGAAACCCTGTCAAAACACTAAAGCTGAAATGATCTTATTTGGACTTTTTAGCTACAAGCATCCCAATGTTTTGCTGTCCATAAGTTCTGAAACATATGGGAAATATATATACGAGAACTAAGATGATTCGATCAACCACATGCCCCTTTTTTTTTCTTTTATTGCAATGATGAAAACAAGAAGAAATGTCTGGGTTCTCATGCAGTATGTAGCAGACAACCAGTGCTCTATGCTCCTTATTTTCAGTGCCATATAAACATCATTGGAATCATTGGGGTTATTCATCTCAAGCAGACAAGGATGATGCAGCTGCAGACAACGGGTTGCTAACGGATGCTAACTGTCCTGAATGCAGGAGTTGTAGCTGTAAATCTGAGGCTATAGAATACAGTGCAGCCTTTGCTGCTGGATATTCCTCCTGTTGCGTAGCAGGAATGTGCAGTCATTCATTGAATCATAATAATCAGTCCATTAGCTCCTATTAAAGCATCTCATCGAAGACATGACTGCACATTGTATCCAGTCTGTAAGAGCTTGCAGACTGTTACTGGTTAGTCTTTATAGAAGTAGCTGTGGAAATATTCCCCCGTCAATTTATGCTCTTCTCTTTCTAGAACGTTCACCCACCACAGTCTGCTCTCTCAGGACTAAATTTGGATGCAGGTCCAAAAGTTTAAACTGAAATTGCATAGAAAGGCCTTTAAATTTTCTGCCCTAGCATCCTGGAAACACAGAAGGATTCAAAGCTACCAGAAGGGAATTCAAATCTATCTTAAAGAAAAGCTGCTGGATCAGTTTGCATCTGAAACTGTCCTAATGTCCAACGCAAT